AAACGTTTCAGCTTTTGTCTGAAAATGCTGCGGGTTTGGGGTGTTTGAGTTTTCTATGAAAAGCTGGAATTTTCTGCTCAAATTTTCAACAATTTCCCCTGCTTCCTCCACCCCTACACTTTTTGTCCAAATTTCCAGGGAGAAAAACAACAACGAACCACTTCCCAATCAGCTCTGTGTGCTAGTTTGGGCTACGCTCCCAGTGGGAACCTGCTGTGTGAGCCCTGTCTTCCCTTCTGATAGATCACACCGAGTTTGCCTGAAATGCTGCCAGCCACAGCCAGGGAGCCACTCGGTCTCTTTAATTTGCACATTCCGAACCAAGAGCTCCTGGTGCATCCCCCTGCTTTTGGCCAGACTCAGCTCCCCAAGGAGATCCGCCCTGCCAGGCTGAATCCTCACTGGGAAATCCAAGCTCAAGGTATCATAGAATCATAGAATATCAGGGTTGGAAGGGACCCCTGAAGGTCATCTAGTCCAACCCCCAATTTTTTCTCTCTCCCTGAGCGTTGGTGACATAGTTATTTTTTTCTGTTTGAAAAGAGTCAGAGTTCAGGGGCCAAATCCATTGAGATCCGAGGGAGTTTTGCCAGAGTAAAGATTGCAAGATTGGGACTGATGTTCATGGTCATACATCTCTATAGAATTATACAGCATTTCTGCAATCCCCAGCTGAGTGTGTGGGACAGGTCCCCCTCTGTGCCTAGCACACAGAGAAACTGAGTCTGTTATAGCATCCAGCTAGAGAGCCTGACGTCGCGCTGGAGTCCCTGGTTCAGTTCCTGATGTCTTGCTGAAGATGGTTGTGGTCACATGTCCCCCTACAGGAGTTTGTCAATTCAAATACATTCCCAATGGGGCAAAGAAGGATAGCACCTAAAAAAGTGGGGTTCGTGCTCATCTTTTCCAGGCTATTTTTTCTTTCAAAATTACTGATAATGAATTTATATTTGTCTAGTGCATTTCCTCCAGAAGGGTCCCAAAGCATTTTGCCAACTTTTAACAGCAGGTAATCAGCACCCCCATGCAGACAACTCTGGGATGGAGCTTGGCAGCTTTTGTTCAAGTGCTTGGCAAGAGTTTAGGACAGGAAGTGACACAGAACATTGTATCCAACCAAGTGGGTATTGAAGGCAGGTGAGGGAATCTCTGTTATTGGACCATCTTCTGTTGGTGGAAGGTACTAGCTTTCGAGCTACACACAGCTCTTTTCCAGATCTGCGGAAGGAAACAGTGTCTGAGTTGCCAGGACCCTTCTGCTCTTGCTAAAAGTGCTATGGGATGGTTTTAATCAGCGATAAGTGGTCAGAACTTTGGATTTAGGACTCCTTGGCTGGAGCTGCTAAAAACCACGTTATACCATCAGTTCCACAAGGACTCAAAGTGGAGAACACCATCCACTGCACCTGGGCCAGTGAACGTGCAAGGCCATTGTTCCTGTTGCTGTGACAGCACACAGAGCTACGGCATCTGTGGAGCACCGAAAGGATCTGACCTGCTTCGAAGCCTCCACAATTCCTGCCTGTATCTTTGGAAGCATGAAGCTGCCTGTGATTGGCGCTATGTAAATTAATACATAATAGTAACAGGAGGAACATGCTTGACTAACCTAGCGCATCACCTTTGTTGATAGGTTTAGCAGCAAGATGCTGTCGGAGACAGAGCAGGCAGCAGCTTGCATCGAAATGAACGTTTAGTGGCTTGAAGTCTATAATAAAAGGCAGAAACACACCTTCACTGTGATCAGTACAATCCTGTTACAGAAATGCTGCCTGGCTCTGGGTGTATGTAACACGCTGGTGAAGCATATGTCGCGTCTTCTAAAGAGTAACAGCCTACTGCTGCTGCTAACTCATGGGGTTACTCCTTTCGATTATCATTATTATTTGGGTTATAATAGCACCTACAGGACCCAACTGAGATCAGGACCCTGTTCTGGAATCGACATAGTAAGTGACAGTCATTGGCAGTGTTGAAAGTCTAAATAGAAAAAGATTATCCCCATTTTACAGATGGGAAACTGAGGCACAGAGCAAGGACGTGACTTACCTATAGTCACACCAGAAGCCTGATATACAGCAGAGAATTTTGTATCCAAAATTTTGTATTCGTGAGTCTCAAATGAGTGTGTTAGATCCTCCCCGATTGGTGGAGAGTGGTGCCAAAGGTGCAGGGTTCAAATCCCCCATGGGGTGTCTGTACGTGCTCTCCTGAAATGTTCTGTTGTGAGATCTTGAGGTGCTAATTCCTGCTTCCCTGTGAACTGTCCCCGGGCAACAGGCTCCATTCTCAACATTTCTCATTCCTCCAGCAGGGAAAAGTTTTGCAATTGCTTCATCGCGATTAATTAAAAACTTCTGGGAAAGGTTAAGAGCCAAGGGAAAGGGGAGGGGGGCAGAATAATGCTTAGCAGAGAGCGTATAAAAGGCAGAGCCTCTGGTGTTTTCACTCAAGTGTTAAATGGAATATGCTGTAATGGAAGGAAGGCTGAAAAAATAAAACACTCAGCAGCAAATGCCTGGGGATGGGGCTTTCTTTTTTACTCTGTAATTTAACCACACTGGGACTGATACAAGCTCAGGTTCCGTCTTTTAATAAATAATAAGTGTCCATCCATCCAGCTGTCTGTCTGTCTAACCATGTATATATAACCAATGTCCTTTAGCACCCTTCAGCTTCTGGTCTTTGCAGTCATTTGTTCTTCCAGGCAGGGGACTAATCGCTTACGGATTATCTGTGACGGGCCTGCTTTGCTTCTGGAAGGCTGGTCTTGTGGTTAATGCGTTGAATTGGGACTGGGGAAACTGAGTCATGGCTCTGCCATAGACTCTTTGTGTGACCTTGGGTGAGTTTCGTAGACCCTGTTGGAGACCAGACCTCTGGCATGTGCTTTACGACCCACTAACTTCAATGGAGCGTAAGTATATATGTAAAGTTAAGCACACACTTCAGGGCTGCCATGAATAGGGATGTTTCTCTGAATCAGGACCTTCCATCTTTTTGGCTGAGAATTTCAGAAGTGGCTAGTGATGTTGGAGGCCCAACTTGGGAGCCCTTGAAGGGAGCTGCTTTTCAGAGGGCGGGGGCTAGTTACTGTCTGAAGATCAGGCTCCTTTAGGGTGTCTCAAGTTGGACACCCAAAATTACTAGGCCTCTGCGTCTATGTGCAAAATAGGGGACTAACATTCCCCCCAGCTCACAGCAGGTGACAAGGATAAATTCCTTGGTCTTTGTATGGCAGGCCTGTGAGAGGGGCCTATGGATAGATGAAAATAATAATAATCCATTCAGGCGTTTATACTGTGCTGATTACCAGGCACCACTCAGGATACAGTTTCACTGCTTTCCAGTATCTTCTTGGGACAGATGTGGATTCCTTTGATGGGGCCCTGGCAAAGCATTTGACCACAGCTGTGTGGCTGTCCCCTCCCCCTGCCTCCGTTCTGAATGCCAAATCCTGCCGCCTTTGGATGGAAGGGAAACTTAAGCGAAGAGGAATCGAGGCAAGCCATGGGTTGTTAGCCTCTGGCCACAGATTGTGCGTGCTGGAGTGTACGCCAGACAGCCATCCAGGGAGATGGGAAAGACTGCTTGACAATGGGCATTTTCAGACAGGGCAGAGGGACGTTTGCTACAGTGCATTAGACTTGGTAGGGCATAAAGCTTTAATCGGACTCTGAATACTGTTATTGGCCCCAGGTGGGAAAGGAGCAACGTCAGTGGCTTGCTGAAGAGACTAGCATGGGCACATTGCAAATGATAAAGGGTCCAGCAGAGGTCTTCCAAGTCTCGCTTCTCTAAGCTTGATATCCGAGGCAGGAAAAATCCTGGAGAACAAGAGCAGGGCTGCCTCATCTTTTTGAGGGCTATGGCTAGTGGTTAGATCAGTTGATGTAGGTCAAGACTCCTACGTTGTTCTCTCAGCTCTGGCACAGAGTTCAAGGCCAGAAGGGACCCCCAGATGTTCTAGTCTGACCCCTTGTAGAGCACAGGCCACCAACACCACCCAGCTCCCGCATGCTAAACCCAGCAACCGAACAGCCCACAGGAGACTAGACTATGATGTGCCACAGGCAGAGAATAGGAGGGGCCTGGGCCCAGAGCCCCCACAATGGCAGGGAAATGAGTAAGTGAGATAGACCCAGGTAATCCCGGCCAGTGACCCACACCCTCATGCTGCAGAGGAAGGCAAAATAAAAAAAAACCCAAGGTCACTGCCAGTCTGACCTGGGGAAACATTCCTTCCCCACCCCACATATGACGATCGGTGAGCATGTGAGCAAGAACCAGTTGGCCACACACCTATCCGAGAGAGCGCTCGGTGCCACTTCAGAGCCTGGCCCACCCCACCCAGTGTCCCATCTCTAGCCATGGCCAGCCGTGATGCTTCAGAGGAAAGAGATTAAAAAAACCCAACAGAATTAATGGAGAGGGGAATATCCCTTCCTGACCCCTGCAGGTGGCCTGCTGAAACCCTGAAGCATGAACTTTGGGAACGTAAGATACAAACTGGAAATGAGCCCTGCCCCTCACCATCATAAACAACCCCGACATACAATTCCTCTCATAAATTGGTCCAACTCTCTCATTAAACTAATGAAGTTATTTGCCCCACAGTTCCTGTTGGGAGGCTGTTCCAGAGCCTCACCCCCCCCGTTGGTTAGAAACCTAATTTCCAGCCTGAATTTGTTCATGGCCAGTTTATCCCCATTTGTTCTTGTGCAGCATTTTCCTTTTGCTTCAATAGCTTGTCACCCTCCCTGGTATTTGCCCCCCCCCCCTTCCCAATATATTTAGGGAGAGCATGCACAGCTCATGCTGGACTAAACAAGCCAAGCTCTTCCAGTCCTGTCTCCTAAGCCCTCAGTTCCCCGATCATCCTAGTAGTTCTCCTCTGCCCTTGTTCCCCTTTAAATCCATCCCTTTTGAACATGGGCGGCCAGAACTGTACACGGTGCAATGGCAATGATACGTCTCAATCTCTCCTAGAAACGCCTCACCTGATGCATCATATTTGCCTTTCTCACAGCCGCGTCACAATGGTGGCTCATAGTCATCCTGGGTTTTGACCCACGCACCCAGGTCTTTCTCTTCCTCTGTTCTTTCCGACGGACGAGCCCCCAGCTTGGGGCAGAGATTCAACAGACCCGAAAGGCATGACCTCACACTTTCTCCAATTGAATTGCATCCCATTTCTGTCACTCCCATCTTCAAGGCCATCCGGATCTTCCTGTATAATATTCCGATCCTCCTCTTTATGAACAATCCCTCCCAACTTTGTATCATCAGCAAATTTCCTTAGCACACTCAGACTTTTTGTGCCAGAGTCATTAATAAAAAGAAGACTGGCCCCAAGTTTGATAATTCAAATTTCAGCACAACCCATTGCTGTCTCTCCCTGGAGCCAGTTCCTCACCACCTGGTAGTTCTTGTTCTGATCCCCATCTTCCCTTTCGCTCGGCTCTTCTTGTCCATCCATGTACAAAGGGTTCATCTGCATGGTCACTAGGACTGCCTGTCAACATCTGCAGAGACAAATAACAAGGAGCTGATGAAATTCATGTCACAGCCTTTGCTGCCTGTTAACACATCGTGATTTTTGCCCGCTCTGGAAACTTTACTCAAGCAACCTTAAAAGACTCAGTTCTCCAGAAGACAGGCGAACAAAGATCTAGAGCTAATTAGGGGTACAGGTGCGTGGGCATCAGGGCTCGGAAAAGCAAAGCATTGTGGTGGTCAAGTAAATACTTGCCTTCTGTGCCCTCCCCTTTCTCCAGGTGAGCCCAGATAATAACACTACCTTGCACTTATACAGCACTTTTCATCAGTAGATCTAAAAGCACTTTACAAAAAAGGCGAGTATCATTATCCCCTTTTTTACAGATGGGGAAACTGAGGCACAAAGCAGCAAAGTGACCCGCTCAAGATTACCCAGCAGGCCCGAGACAGAGCCAGGTCTCCTGAGCTCCAGTCCAGTGGTCTGTCTCCAGAGAGCACAGGGACATGCCATGCCGCATTGACATAAGTAGAGAGGAAGCCAAAGGCATCCAATTAGCACTAGGGGAAATGAACATGGGCACGAGCCGGGTCTCCGAGGAAGGCAGCATCCAGCACTAGTAATGCTGACTGGCTTGTATGAAAGCACAAAGAGAATAATCTAGCCCATTAAAATTGCTGGTGCACGGAACAAAAGAAGAACCCCGTGTCTGTTGTCTCTGCTGTAGGTATGTAACTGAACTAGAGAGCGGTGCCCTGGTTGGAGAAACCTGCCACTTTACCTTGATTGCAGGGGGCTAGAGTGTGGGTAATAACATTGATTTTTTTCCTGTTGAATAATAATAGCAGGGGTGATTCACAGCTCGGAGGTGAGCGGAACGTTCTCACGACAGACGTGGCGGGGTGTGAAGCCAGGCATGCTGCTGAGAGCAGAGAAGCTGGCTCCTTTCCCCCTCCCCTCTCACTTGCCATCTGATGCCCTTGACTGGCCAAAAGCCCAGCCTGGTCTCACAGTACAAGCTTCCGCCGGCTCCACAATGTCAAAAGGCGATGGGGTAGGGGACAGCAGAAACAAGAGTTGTCAGTGTTTGAGTAATCTGGGGCAGGGACGGTGAGCTGTCTGGTTTGTACAGCACCTTGCACCATGGTGCCTGAAGTTGGTTGAGGCCTCTAGGGGCTACCACCATACAGGTGATTCATAATTAGTGAAATCCCTATTTTTCCACATGTCAAGAGCACCCATGAACTTTCAGACCTCAAGTGACAGCTGTAGAGGGGAATGGGATCAGAAGGAACCCATGCAACAAGAACCAAAGTCTCCAGGCCAGAGCACAGTGTGTGCATCTCTGTAACATGCTGCAGCGGCTTGGAGAACAAAACAACTGCTGTCTCTGCACACCGAGGGCTTAGAAATTTAAAGGTGCAATGCACAAAAAAACCAAAGCTACAACTATTCATGTGAGCAGGTCATGCTGGGGTCGTGAAGGACTTGCGTGAGGGCAATAGCTAGCTGGAATGGTGATGCAAGTCAAAGGAAAGTACAAACAGGAGGAGAGAGAGATGCAGTGATGGATGGGTTAGAAATACTTAAGGCAAGGTGAGTGAGTAGGTCTGCACCGGCTGCCAACACAGTGTGGCTCACTGTCTCCCCCTAGTGGATAGACCACATATGTCAAGGTTTACGAGCACCATCACCCTTTAGCTCAAAGTCACGGTTTGTGATTTAGGTCAAGATAGCCCAAGTTCAGTCCCCTTAGACAATTCATGATAGATAGGTAGCCTTTCCCTGCTCCGGATAACTCACTGCTCTGAAACTAGAGCTCTCACTGGAGCAGTATTCCTCCTCCCAGGGCTGCCACTCATCCTGACAAAGGCAAGAGAATTATTGCCGTAGTGGTGGGGAGAAAGCCAACAGAGTGACAATGTTTCTTAGCAGGTAGACAGAGTATTTTTGGGGAAGAGACAGACCGTAAAACGGTGTGTTGGAACAGACTTTGCAGGGCCACAAGGCAGCTGTCGACTCCTCTCTGTTAATTTAGTCCAGCTCTTTTATATCGGTTTAATAAGGTTTCCGAAGAGCCTGTCTGCCTAGGAGGGGCTGGAGAGTGAAATACAAAGCCCTGGAAGAGGTAGCCCTTGGAAGCTCAGCAGGGAAGGTACCCCTCTTAAGGATTATTGTAATATGCAAGTATAACCTGTGCCCGCTTAACATGGTGTTTTGTCCCCCTCTACTGGCACACAGCAATTGATGAGTCTGCTACACTCTTAGCTAAGAACCATGTGGCTTTTGGCTCGCAAATCTAGCTCTTGAAGTCCCAGGTTCGATCCCAGCCACCACCGACTGGGGTCTGTTGGCGTTATACACGCTTATTGGGCCAGGGCCCATCGTTTTTGCTCTGGGTCTGTAGAGCACCTAGCACAATGCAATCCCAGCCCGTGACTGGGACTCACAGGTGCTACCGCAATATAAGTAACAATAGTAATATTAGCGGCTACGGCATCAGTTTCTGGAGACCCGGTAGCGTGAAGGAGGCAGGCATTAGCGAGAGGGGGGTGCCATACGTCAGAAAGCAGGATTTGTAGTAGCAGGTGCTTTTCTTGTCAGTGCACGGGGTGTGGCTCTCCATTGCTCTGTACCTTGCGCAGTCTTTTACATTGACACCGCTATCAAACGCTGCTGGGTGGATTGGCAACCACCACCCACTCTGCTGCGGCTGAGACCCAGCCCCTCATCCCGGGACAGAGACATCAGCTGGTTTTCCCTCATTCTTGCTGCGTCTCTCTCCCAGGGCAGGGTTGTTCCCTGCAGGCACATTGTCTAGTGGGGCGCCCTATCTCCTTGCCAAAGGCCCCCACAACAGGCTTCCCACTATTTCCCTGTGGGAGACTTTCCCCCAGCCTAAATAGCTCCCTGCTACCCTGCACATGTTCCCCTGCTTAATTCCATCCCACCCCTCTTGAATCCCTCCCCGCACCAGCCACAATAATTTCTGCCTGTCCTTGGCATTTACGCCATTCCATTTCCCATCTCTTCCCTTTGCCCCCATTCATTTCATCACCCTCCTCATTTATTAATGGACCTGTTTTGTCCCTAGCCCTTCACGAGCACTGATACAATTGCAAAAGCCACCACATCCTGGATCAAACTCCAAAGCCAGTGGGAATTTTGACGGCATGAGAACAGAGCAAAGAATTCAGGCTTCTGGCCCAGGGAGATCTAGAGTACTTTCTTTCACTACACATACACCTTTCTTGCTCTCACACACTGAAACCCCTCCAAGTTTATAGCTGGAGATCTACTTGCAAGCAACCTCCTCCAAGATGCAGCCAGTACCACTGACAGCTTCTCCACTGGACATGCAAACGCAAAGTCAAAGTGGAGGTGCTGGCTACCACAGGGCAAATAGAGTGGGTGTTGAGTTACTACCAGCCCACAGAAGGAGGCAGCCTGCCTTACCCTTAATTTTGGACAGGACTCTCTGCCTCTTGTGGACTGCTGGGTCAGCAGCTGGAGAGATGGCTGGCTGGCAGGACTGAGCCAGAATCATGTGAACCCAGGTGCAGATTGAGGTTGGTGTCCTGCTACAACAAACCAGGCAATGAGACCTCCAAGGGGTGTAGCCACACACTGCAAAAGTAGCTTTCCTATCCACCTGCCTTAGCCTGCACTGCTTCAGGAAAACGCTCAAGACCAACTGGGTGGGTACAGCGTTTGGCAGATCGGGGTTTGCGAGGGGCACACGCTCTGCTGATCCTTGCAAGGAAAGCCACACTCTCCCCAGAGCTCAGGGACCGTCCACTGGCAGCAGAAGTGAAGAGAAAAACCCCCAAGCTGACACTGAAATGTGTGGACAAACATGGCCTGATGCTGCCAAGTGGCAGAGGTGAGCGTGGCCTGTGGAGATGGATATGCATGACAGGGACAGAAACAAGCCTTGACACATTGGGTCGGGATTCATGCGTGCTGCCTTTTCATGCATATTTATGGAGGCTCGGGGAGGATTGATAAAACAGGAAGTGGGGGGGGGGAGGCGGGCATTTATGGACAGCCAAGACCCGAATGTCTGAGCAACTCCAGGCTGCTCAGATGAGCATGGCTTGATACAGGAAAATGTGACATTTCTTGTCAGCGAGGTTTTAAAGGCAGAGTGGCAGAATAAATTAGCACCAGCGAGGAGCCAGCATGTTTCTTTTAATTATCAGCAAAGGTTCTGAGGCATCAGAGTCTGTTAACTCTTGCTGATAGAAAGGCATTTGTCACAGCTCCTGTCTCAGATGCATTGTTTACTCAGAGCAAGCCAGCCAGAAAACAAACACATGGGAGGAGGGAAAGAAAAAAAAAAAAGCCAAACTAATAACCGTGCCCCACCCCAGCCCTCATGAACTTGTCAGGCTGATGGCGATGACACTGTGACAATGACAAAGTCATCAGCAGGGTCCAGAAGAACAGGCCTGTCTGTGAAGAGCAATGGAAGAACATTTAATCATACAGCAGTGTCAGCTAGTGAGTCTCAGCCTGTCACTCGACAGCAGCTAGGTAGAGCAGAAACACAGGAATTTCCACAATGGATCAGACCCAAAGTCCATGTAATATCTTGACTCTAACAGTGGCCAGTATCATCCTCTTCAGAGGAAGGTGCAAGAAACCCTGCAGTTATGGGATAACCTGGCCCCAGGAGACATTTCTTCCTGACCCTCATTAGTGAGAGGTTGATTTATGCCATGAAGCATGAGGATTTATATCCCTGCCAAAGCTCTCTGAGTCTGCTCCTCAGTTGGTGTAAGGCAGCATAGCTCCATTATTCAATAGATCTGTGCCAGTTTACACCATCGGTTTGTTTTTTTAATGCGCACCGTCGTAACTCTGGATGTGCTGGAGAAAATGTCTGATCCTTGCTAAGTGCTTGGTTGGAATGAAGTCTTGTGGCAGTGAGCTCCACAGGCTTCTTGGGTGTTGGGTGAAAATGTAGGAACCTGGAAGGGTGCAGCTCTGGGGAAAAAACCTAGAAGGGAACTGGGGCCAAATACT